CGTTCACACCACCCGTATCCCACTGCCCACGTCCTCCAGGCTGCGCTTTTGGAGGCATCGTACGAAGAAGAAGAAAAGGAAAGGAAAGAAGAGTAAGAAATTTGAGTTGGAAGAGAGAGCGGATCACGACTGAGGAACGAGCACCAACTAATGCGACGGCACTGATACTTATACCGTACGGAAAGTCGTTTTCACTTAACTTACTACGAGTTTGCTAGCAAACGTACGTCACAGCTAGGTAACAACATAACTATTCAAACTACGAGCAAACACGCGGACCGCCAAGCAGCCGCATACGGTATAGAGGGGGGGTATTGTAATGGGCTGCGCCCGTGGAGTGAAAGCACGTGATTGTATCACGTGCCTACATCACGTGCCTATATCACACCGCTTAGTTAGAACTTACTCGTACGAAGAGTAGAGAAGCAAGGTATAAAGAGAGAGGTGTCGTACGACAGCTTAACTCTTCTTATCTTTCTTCTTCTGTACTATAGGTTAATGCAAACTCGTTCGAAGGCCTCTTCGCCCATAACAACTAGTATATCCCAGTTTAGAGTATTTTCCCGCATTAATCGTTCAACTTAGGCGTTTAGTCTATTAATTTCTACCTATAGCGTACTAGTGTAATCTTTTTCTAATTCTTCTTCTTCTTCTATCTTAACAGTAGGCTACTTACCAGCTATCTTCTCTTATTAGGGTTTCTGCGTTTATTAGTAAGTTATTCTTCTTAATAGTTCCGCAGAATCGGTAGTAATTCAGTTAACTATAGCGATTAATTCCTAGGTTAATAGGTTCTTAGTAGTCTCCGTGTCTCTATCTTAGCGCACTCTACGCGGCTTTTCTAAAGTTAATCCAACTCACGTGAGTACAGAAATTCTAAACCTAAAGGCTTCAGTCGACAGGAGATCAATAGAATCCTATCTATATAAATGTTAGATGTAACGGTGTAAGGTTCCAGATTAACTCTAGAAACACTTAGTTTTAGATATAGTCTAAACAGACAGCTGCGATATTGTTTGAATGCCGTCACCAGCGGTAGTGAGATTTTTAATATAATGTAACGGCGCAGGCAAGACTACTCAGATCAGTATCAGCAGTAGCGTCACTCAGAGGCATATGGGAGTGCGTGGGACATCAAACGAGCCTTGATTCGAATAGACACCTATAGGCCTTGTACGAAAGGATATCAAAAATCTATCGAGCTACGGTATGGAGAAGGTGGGGTTTTATATCAGCAGATCTGCCCTCGGCTAGTGCGTGCCCATGTTCGGATCCCTTTCGGATGTTAGTTCAGTGTGTACTCGAACCGTTACACCTATCCTAATTCACCGCCTGTCCAGGACAGCCAAGCGCCTAGCCAATATAAAACGACAAGAAATGCCTATCCTAATTCACCGCTTGTCCAGGACAACTAAGCGCCTAGCCAATATAAGACGACAAGAAATGCCTATCCTAATTCACCGCCTATCCAGGACAGCTAAGCGCCTAGCTAATATAAGACGACAAAAAATACCTACCCCGCGAAATTATTCCCTTAAATTTGCCTAAAATCGTTTAGCGTTAGGAGGTTTCAGTGGAAAACCATAGATTTATAGCTTTTCCTACTTAGGTATTCTACTATAGAATACGCCCCTCCCTCCCCCCCTTCTCATTCCAGAACTAAACCTCTTTAAAAAAAAACGTGCCCATCGCTTAAGCTAGACTCATATAGGAAAGAGACAGACTAGACAGACTAGTAATCCTAAAAACCAGCAGAACAAAGCTAAACTATAGTAAGTCTCCTACAACCGGTGAAGGGGGGACCGCGAAGACCTAGAAACAGTAAAAGCGGGCCAATACGGCCTAGAATTAGCCGAAGAAGCCGTGGGATAGAGACAAATCACCTAATAGAAACTATTTTAGGCGCGCTAAGCCTAGATATATAATCAGAGACTGCAAAGAACGCGAAGTAAGCAATTCCGGGCCATCCGAACGCAGTTTGGGAAATAGCCAGAGGCCGAAGGGTTAGTAGCTACCCTCTCCGCCTATATTATAAGTTCAATCAAGAAAGGACTTAGACCTCTTTAGAGACGTCTTATTCACGAAGCTAACATTATTAGTAACCGTCAAGGTGCAAATTATACAATCCGTCTAGGAGGCGAAACCGCAGACAGCAGCTTAGCTGATAGAACAATTAATTAGAAAACGCGTTAAAGAGCTAGTAGTGGTTCTATAGTAAATATAGTAATAGCTCTGTAGTATATAATTAGGCTGGCAAACGGGTACCCCCAACCATAGTGTTAGGTAGGTGTTGGGTTATGGTCGCACAGACCTCGGGTAGGGGTTGGGTTAGGTTAGATCTAGCTCGGATAGAGGTAGGAGTATGGTTACAGACCCGACCTAACCCCTACCTGAGCTTGATCTGACCTAACCCAACTGTAACGATGTTACAACTTCGCCAAGTATCGGGCCAATCCGAGAGCCGGATCGGAGGTAGTATTCGCCGCCCTCTTCATCAACCACTCGTTATTGTTAGAGATCTAAGCTAATCAGCTGATCTCTGGCATAATCCGGGTGCTCGGCACTATACTCGGATTCTTTAGTCAACCAATCCCTAAACAATTTATCTATCTATTACATCTATAGCTACGTAATCTACTACTAGATAGATTCTTCTAGAATCTAATACAGCTAATATATATAGTAGTAGAATAGCTAGTAGATAGAAACCAGAGCAGATTAAAAAGAGCAGGTTGCCAGAGCAGAACATAAGAGTAGATCGAATCAATCTAATTCTTCAATCTCTCTCCCCTAGCATTATTTCCTTCTTACCTAGAACCTATCGATTCGCTACCTCTGAGTTGTAATAGGCTACGCCCTTGATGATAACTTGGCTATGCCAAGTAGCGATTAGCGCAGCGCGCGCTGATTCCGAGTATATATATCCAGCTACCACGACAACAAGACAAGCTTGTTGTCTTGTGCTTACCTTTTGGTCACATGGACGGCGCGAGTAGCTGCGCGCTAGGCCGGATCCGGCCCGCCCATTACATGAGTCTATCGCTAGACAAGTAGACGACTCTACCTCTGAGCTAGCTATAGAACAAGTAGCACCTTCCTTATTCCAACAGTTATGAGGTCGGATCCGATTCGGATCCGACTAAGATAAGTATATAAGGAGACACTCCCTGTAGCTAGCTCTGTAGACTTTTAATATCCTTTCGTACAAGGCCTATAGGTGTCTATTCAAATTAAGGCTCGTTTGATGTCCCACGCACTCCCATATGCCTCTGAGTGACACTACTGCCGAGACTGATCCGAGTAGTCTTGCCTGCGCCGTTACAACGCTTATTAGCATCTTATAAAGATAGAGAACTAATTACTTATATCGCGCCTTTCTATCTATTAATGGTAATAGTAAAATTTAGCTTAATCTAGGCTAAAAGAGAGTATAGGCTAAGCTTAGAACGACCGTAGACTTTAGTTTAGGGAGTATTACTACACCGCCTCTAACGAACTTAAGGCTACTTAAGGAAAGTTTAGGGTAGATTATAGGAACTAGTAGCGAGCGGCTAGAGTAACTAAGAGTAGCTCTACTAGCGCTTTATAGTACCGCTAACGGGGTACGATCTACAGTACGTAATACGACGTTCTTCTACTAGCCTAGGGGCATAGACTTAGTATAAGAGATATAAATTGTTAAAGAGATCTATACTAAGTAATATCTAAATAGTATATAGCGCTGCGCAGGCGAAGATTACATAAGATAACTACCGCATCCGCTTTTATCGCTATCGCACGTCGCTTATACCTCCCTCTATAGAGGAGACTAGATTTACAGCATATATATAACTAGAAGAAACTTTAATGTTAGACTAATAATATTAGAATAACCTAAGTATATATTATGCTATCTTTTAGTAAGTAGAAGGCTTAAGTAGCGTTATTATAGGAGTTATCGCGTTACACAGCTATTATACGTCCATCGTAAACTAGATAACGCAGTAATAAATACTAACTATATAATTTTAAAGTATATATTTTAAGATAGCTAAAGAATTACTTTTAGCTAGTGGTGTAAAGTTCTTAACTACGAATATCTTGTAGAGAAAGTGCAAAGGTGAAGCAAAGTCAAAGTACCTGTTGTTCTTATCGCGACGCAGGGTTCTTTCGCTTCGCAGGGGGGAGGTTAACTTGATTTCTTGAGCAAATGGTCTTGAAAATACATAGTAAGAGAATACTATGCACCATAATTCAATCCTGGGAAATTCCTCAAAAGCTCTACTGTGGATGGCAAAGAAACCTCTTCTATCATATCACCCGCTGCGATGTGCAAAAAAAGATCACCCCTCAGTGTCTAAAGGGACTCGCTACTGGAGTTTCTACGTGGGCTAGAGATGCACTTTGTAGCTTCTTGATATCGAGTAAAATATTGAAACTGAGAAACACGGTATGCGCTGGGCACCAGTACTTATTGCCCGCTCCTGGTACTGCAAGGAAGTGACTGTTTCTGCTAACTTGGACAACTGGGAGCAACCAGCCATGAACAAAATCCACTCTCCCTAACCATACTAGACCTTAGTTCAGTCAAGAGCTCTCATTCAAGTAACTCCATATTTTTCAGCGACTGAGAAAACAATTAGCGATACACAACATGTCATTGGCTATTTTGACTAGGGGCAGGGGTAACGGTCTGTCAACCACGGAACGCGTTGAGACCAAGTATTGTATATGGGGATGTCACCATGTTCACTTTCAAGCGGTAATAAGTTGAACATCTACACTGATTTTGATACTCTAATGACAAAATTACTCTCCAAACAATATACTCTCCACATCATGTTTCGAAGCCTCATGAACATGCTTCGCGCATACCGCGAAAAGGCAAAACAGACAAACGACACCGACGTAATATCGCCTAAGAACTTTCCAACACTTTCAACAAAAAAGCACTTGAAATCAGCCAAGTCGTCTAGAGAAGGGATGGGCACGGGAATGAGGAGCAAATCCTCGAGCCAGCCGACAAATAACACAAGCACTACCAATCCAAGCGAAAATTTCTCCTTCACGCCAGAGTCTTCGCATCCCTCCAATGAAGCAGATCAGGCTTCCACATGTAGTCCCAGAGCTAGGTCTCCTTCGCCATGTCCATTTAGCCCACTCCCGCCATCAGAGCAAACGGAACCTTTCCCCACTTACAAAGAAGATGAGAAAGAGTGGGACGAATGGAACGAATGGAATGAGGATATTAGAACGGTACCCTATAGGCTCGACCACTGCACCCAACACTGCAGGCGCCCCATCTGCCGCAGCGTGACCCGTGGCAAGGAGAGGAGAAACGTAGATCAGGGAGCCTGTCTATGCTCCCTCGAACCACCCCCTGCAACAGACTCGATAAGTCAGGTACAGATACAGCAGTTTTCAGAAGAAGACATTGCCGTCGTGCAAGCCACTTACAACCGTACCAACAAACAAGACTTCATCACTGTCAATCTGGCAACTGCAATCACCCTCGTGGATTTGCTGCGTCAAACATACTACTTGAATCTATGCTCCCGCCTCCAATGGGATCCAGACTTCACATCGAATGTACTCCTTCATAGCGACCAGTACTATGCCGCTACCCAATCCACCAATGAACTCGTCGACAAGCTATTTGTCCATCTCATGCTGCTGTTGGCTCCGATGCCGAACCAGACGCGGTATATCGAGGTCCAAGAATTGGAGCAGACGATGCAATCAGTGATGCGGCTCGAGTTCTTTTGGTGGCAGTCACAGTGGTGTTTTAAACAGCAGGGGAGGATACCAAGGGAGGATGACTTGCATGTCAGGATGATGAAAGACGGGTTTGTTCGTGCGAGACGGCGCTATATCAGCGGGAAACAGAGTATGGGGGTGCAGGTGATGATGGAGAAGTTGGAAGATATCGTGGAGATGGCGGTTAGTGTGTTGGTGTGGTGGAGTGAATACACAAGCCAATTGGCGGTAGAGATCGAGGAAGCTGAGTCGATAGGGCTGGATTCGAGCGTTGCGTCTTTTGTTTCGGCGCAGAGTTATATTGCAAGCGACGAAAGCGATGCTGATGGGAGAGATAGGGAGAAGGTTTGATTCACAATGCATTTTTTGATTGTGCGTCGAACAGATGATCATGCTCCTTTAACATCAATCACTGTGTAGATGTGGTGACCCTCGGAGGTCGCAAACATGCACAACGTCCGACTCTCATGTTTTCACTCAATGCAAATATTGTTTTCGATCAGTTTACATGGTTTAGAAACAGTTTTCCATTGTGTTAAGGTTATGTTGATGTAAAGATTGATATTATTCTCCTTTTCCTCTCATATCATTCAAACAGACTACCGACAACAATTACAGAGCTACCCACTAAAACCATAGAGCAACCCACTAAAATCACAGAGCAACCTACTACAGCCATGGAGCATTTCACTACAGCTACGGAGCACTCTAATACAACTACAGAGCAACTTACTCTAACTATGAAGCAACCGACCTTCTCCACACCCCCCGCCTTCCCAACCTCCACAACCATCGACATCTCCTCCTCCCTCAACCACCTCTCCCTCCTCCCTCAACCACCTCTCCCTCCTCCCCAACCTCGCCTCTACACCCCCACCACCCTTCTCTCCATCCCCCTCCCCACCGTCCTCGCCCTCCTCGACGACATAACCTGCATCGAGGTCATCGACAAAATCGCCTTCACCAACCACATCGACCCCTCTTCCGACCCCAACGACCTCATTTCAAACCCCAATATGCTGCCCGCCTCCGCATACCACTTCTTCCACGCAAAGCTATCTCGGTACCTGGTGCATGCCGCGCCGACGCTAACTATTACGCTCGCGCAGCTACGTGAAGAGCTGGATGCGTATCTCACGACGATGGTGTGGTTGCATGCTGTGCTTTATTGCGGGGAGAGCGTGCGGGAGAAGATTATGGAGGCGGTGGCGAGCGAGTGTGTGGAGGTTATTGAGGAGGATGAAGGGGCGGACATGGCGGTTGTGAAGAAGGTGGTCAAGGTTTGGAAGGAGTGGATGCAAAAGTTTGTTGGGGGGTTAGTGGTGGAGAACGAGTCGGAGAGGAGGGATACGCAGGATGAGTCGGTGAGGAGGGAGGCGCAGGATGAGCGGGTGGCGTGGGGGATGCTGGTGCTTGTGTTGTTTCCGAGTCTGGTGTCTTATTTGAAAATGTAGAGCGGGGATGGGTGACTATGGCTTTAGGGGAGGCGGGTTAGATTAATGGATTTTATTTTGCGTTCACGTTAAGGTATTTGTGCTTATGGGGTATGGAGTTCACGGTAGAATAGTTGCGGAGTTTGGAATAGAAATTGTCACAATCAGATACAGAGTTATTGAATACCGTTTTGATTGATTCTACGTACATGCATAGAAATCAGAGAGATGAATATCTCTATACCTGTAATGAACAATACAAGGTATGCTCATGTGATGAGAAACACACAAAACTATGCAATAAGAAACCATAAAAGCAACACCACAAACACTACCATACTAACACCCCAAAGGTACTTGTTCCAAGAGTGACTTTCCTAGAGCAGCCCGGATCTACGCGCAGCTTCTGGAGTGGGTTAGTAATTGCATTCCATTATTCATGTCCCGAGACAACATACCAGGGATGAACTCTTTAGCTTCGGGACGTGGCACGTATGCATCCGCAGCCGTATGAGGGAGAGTAGCTTTCTCTTGTCCAGGCATGAAATCATGCCTCATAGGCTGATTTGCGATTGCTGCTAGCGGGGGCTGAGTGGCATAAGGGTTGGCCATCTCCGGTAGAAACGAGTTGGTCTGGGAGGGATGATACGGCATCGTGTGATGCGTCCACGATGAATTGTAGTACCAATAGGTGGACCGTGGCGGATGGAGGTTCTGACTCTGTGTGTACGGCGGAGATTGTTGGTGATACTGTGGAATACTCGTATGCGTTGTCGCGGGAACACTGGGCCCATGTATGCCGTCAGGACCGGGGTATGGGCCATAAGGCTGAAGATATTCATGTTGTAATCTTGAAGGATGATGTTGCCAATCTTGCGGCGTGGCAGATGATATGTGAGATTCTGACCGAGAACCAAGAGCGTAACGAGAAGGGATGATAGGCTCTGACTGCATTTCAGATGGATTTGAGGACTGCTCTGTAGATGAATCTGAGCCGTCATTCGAGTATCTGACATGGGACAGATCACTGCGATATCTGTAGATAGCGCCTTCCCTGTTGATTTCTTCTCTTCCTGTGCTGTTGCAGAAGTTGTTATTGAGCTGTTTCTGCAATTCGTCCATCACTGCTGCGTATTCTGATTCGGGGAGCTTGATATTAGGATGCCTAGGCATTGGGGCTGTTAACGGACGTTGGAAATGCGGACTCTGATGTGTGCCCAGTGAGTGTAGATCGTATGTTGAATGTCGCATAGCGTGGCGAACAAAAATGCGAATGCACAACATTTCGCCCTGGACGACGACGCCCGAAAACTCTAGCATCTCTTTCGGTGTGAGGTGAGCCTTATTGACGAGATAAAGGCGAAGGGTGTCGATTGTGGAGGGGAAGTCGATGTAGTATGGCTGCAATATAGGCGTTAGTGTATGGGTGATAAAAGGCATGTCTCTCTGGACCATAAACCATGTCAGTATACTCACCACATTCTCTATCCTGGACTTCGCAAAAATCACCTTCTCAACCCAATAGGCCTTCGATCTCTGCGGCCGCCCGTAATTCTCACCAAAGGCCCATTCCAGGAATGGTACAAGCTCGCGGGCAACCCACTCGAGATCGAGCTCTTTGGGCGCTCCGGATCGAGTTGATCTCTGCATATCTTCTAATCGTAGACGAAGGTAAGAATCAGTAGACTAAGTAACTGTGCGTTAAAACATAAGCGATGGATTGTAGAGGAAAGGCAGTGTGGGGCCGCGTCGGGATATAAGTAGTAGTTTGTGGGAGAATGAGAAGGAGAGTATGGGCCTTGTTTTGGTAGCTGCTTCCGTGAACAAGGCAGCAAACACTCGCTAAGAGTCATTTTCACCACCAACAAACACTTCATCCATTCATTAGCGTACAACCGTCGGTACAGCTCCATCCCGCTTTCACTCCACTATGTGAATCATACTGACACTAATTATCACGCTCTGCTGCAGCTTCTACATAGCAGCTAACCGAGAACCTAAGTTTTCTTGAGATGAAGAAAACAAGAGATCAAAAAAAAAGAGAAGAAAAATATAACAAGAATCCTAGGTGTCTGCTTAGAAAGAGGAAATGAAGATAAAGAGGAAATTTTTCCCAGGAAACAGACCAGATCAAACCACTGTATCCTGCCTTCTTAGCTCACCTTGCTTAATCCAACCCCTCAACGCCGAGATTGTACCCCTTCTTTCCACCAAAGCCTCTATTGCCATATCCTTTCCTCCTCCTCCTCCTCCGCCGCCGCCACCACTACCACCACTAAAACGCCGCAGACTCTGCTTCAGACTTCCTCGACGACTCCGTTCCTCCTAAGCAGGCGTCGTACTCCGATCTCTCCTCAGCAGACCACCCCGTCCTTTGGGTCTTGGACTAATGCTACCATGCTGGCTCGTAGCGTCGCTGGGCTGGAAACTTGTGCGAAGCGTTACCATACCCTTGCCCACACCTATGTTCTGTTCACTGCCACTGCCCTGATCAGAAACTGTGAACTGAGCCTCACCAAGCTCCTCGTCGCGACCGAATTTAGCGTGGTTCTTGACGATGATTTTGAAAAAGGCATCGGCGGTACAGGGCACCTTGAAGGACTCTTCGGACGGGTCGAATGTCGCAGAGCCCTGGGGAGCCTTGATGTGATCTGTCTTGTGGATTTCCTTCTTGCCGAGCTGAATGTGTACGCGGAGATTGGTATTGGAGGCGAAGCCGTCGGCGCTCAGGACAGTAATGTTGGCCGTACCTTGCTCTGCGCTGCCGATACCATTGTTATCACCAAAGCGACTGTGGAGGCTTGAAGCGCCCCAGCTACGATGTCTATTGTGGTTCGAACCATCCTTCGGGGGTGTGCTGGGTTCACCTTCGATCGAGATGACGGGCGTGTCAGCCGATGGCCGGTCTGTAGCAGTGTCTGGACGCTCGGGTTCGTCTTCTGGGGCTTCGCCACGAGACTTTCTGCGCTTGAAGCCACGGCCGAGGAATGTTCCTGCACGAACGACATTACCGCCTACAAATGCAGCGCCCTTGCCGACACCCTTTACGGGGGCGCCAATGACCTTGCCCGGAACAGCAAAAGTGCCAGAGAAGGTACTTGAGCCCTGGCGTGAACGCATAACATAGTCTGGTTTGAACAGCATGCGCAGACGAATGGCACCAGATTTTCCATCGAGTGCGAGTGTAACTTCTTGTTGCTGAAAAGGCTCGAGAATCTCCAGGTTGATGGAGGCTTTGCCAAGGAAGTCAGCTTTGTCGCCAAAGTCCCAGTCGTAGACGTTAACAACAAAGTCGGCTGCTGTCCGGCTACGCACTGGTACTTCAAAGTACTCATTCCAAGCAGGATGAAGCGTCTTCTTCTGTGTCTTGGTCTTGTATACTTCCTTGTCGTTGAGCATAAACTTGCAGTAAGGATCTGAGAAGCCATTGCGGTCAGCTGCAGGCAGATCCGCCGCGTCAAGTACGTCTACACGGAGAGTACCCTGGTTGTTGAATGACTCGCTGGGATCTAGGCGCATCTTGACGGGAATGTACTTGAGCAGCACAGTGATCCTGTTGTCGCGTCCATGCTTATCTTTCAGGGTAAAAGTGGTGGGTGTGTTCTAGAAAAGTGGTTAGCAGGCGTTTCCACACTAATCATTGCAGACGTACCAAAGCTTTCCGCAGCGTGTCAATGGTGTTTCCAGTCAACTTGGCAATGACATGGTCATCCTGGTCTTCGCTGTCGTTGTCATCATGCTCCATGATACGGAGAGTGATCTTGGAAAAGTCCAGTTCTCGAATCATAGTATCACCAACTGCATCTTATTAGCGTCATACGGTATTATACAGTGCTTCGCCATACCGTCGTTGAAAGTCATCTTATTACTCCTGATCTTGGTGCTGATATAACTAGCGTATGCCATGTCGTCCATAATGACATCGACATGACCACCAGTCCTGGCAAACTCGCCATCGATGAGCTTGAACACAAGTAGACCAGATTCTACAACACGTCAGCGACTTTCAATCAAATGGTTAAGAATACGGCGCATGATGCTGTAAGCTGGACACACCAACTCAAGCAACTCAAGTCTGTATTCTCACACTGGCCATGCAACCTACCATATTTCTGCAACTCGTCTGCAGTAAGCCTCAGCTTTTCAATCTCCCTCTTCTCGGGAATTGAATCAACCTGTTGCAGCTCGTTCTTCTCAAGCTCCTTCAGCATGTCCTTCTCGCTCGACTTGAGTGATGAGATTGTGCCTACAGTCTCGGCTTTGCTTGCGAGGGAAGAATTGGACATTACGCGCTGGTGGCCGCCGATCTTGGGGTCATCCGATGCAGAGCCATTAGCTGAAACCTTCTTCTCTTCCTCATTCTCTTCTTCGTCTTCCTCAGGATCCCAGGTTGGGTAGGTTGGGTAGAATGAACAGGTATAGTTTAGCGTGCCTCTAGATTGAGATTGTCCGGCCATCCTCAAAGCTCCTGCAGTAGGCTGCTTTTGTTCGTATTCAAGATATTCACCGTTCTCGTCCTGCTTGATGTAGTCACCAGCCAGAAGTTCAATGTGTCCCATTGTGCGGTCTTTGCCAAGATTCTCCTCGTCCATAACCTCCAACGTAAGCTTCTCGCGGACGGTGTGTACAGGCACATATATGACTTCGTCCCAGTCTGGGTTGAGGTTGTTCTTGAAGACGACTGTACGACCCTTTTCAATGCCAGAGAGCAAAACGCGGACGTACGGATCAGACTTGCCGAGCGCTTCGAGGTTACGCAGCTCACGAGCGCTTTGGAAGTGCAGTCGCATGACACCGATAGGCGTAAGATAACCACCCGATGACACGGCCCCCTTGAGTGCGACAGGCTTCCAATCGAGCTTCATCTTCACACGGCCACTTTGGGTACCGGCAATGTTGTACCACTCATGGCCCTTGGCCATCAACTCCAACATGTCATCAATGGTGATTTGGTAAGTGCCAAGGATCGGATCAGTTCCAAGTTCGCGGTCATCTTTGATTACAAGGCCTAGCTTTGCCTTCTTACGGTCGGTAATGAGCATCTCCTTAGAGGCGTCTGGCCAGATGGGTTGGTTGGTTCGTTTCATGGTGCGTGATTTGTGGATTTCATGTCCGTTGAGGAGTAGGACGGCATACGGACTCAATTGTCCAATCATGCTCTTGCTGCCATCGAGTTCCTTGGCCTGCTCTACTGTAAACTTGCAGATGCCAGTCCGCGACTCTGGCGGTGGCTCCTTGGTGCCGTCTTCAAGAGTAGTCTCTCCCAGAACAGGGAAGAAGCGAACGTCTGCTGAAACCAGACCCCGGGCTCGCCCGCCTGACATGACCTCGAGCTGTAAGTTCTCATGATCGGGATCCTCCTCGAGCTGTTCCAGAGCGAAAGTAGCGGTACCGAGTTCCTTATCCTTTCGGATATCATTGTAATCAAAGATATTAATGGTAAGCGAGTCTTTCAGCGAGGTGACAATAATGTTGACAGTTTCGTTCCATCTCGGGTTAGCATTCTCATGCACAGTCTTAGTGCGTCCAAGTACATTGCGATTGTTGATTGAAACAGTAGCGTAGGGGTCAGGAGTGCCAGAGAACTTGTCGGGATTCTTCAGGCCTTGTGCGCCGTGGAAATGAATTTGCAAAACACCAATAGCCTGATCGACGGGATTACCAGCAAGCATCTTGGCGATTTCAATGGGGAAAACATTGGGTTCGTACATCATGGGGCCGAGATTAGCATGGATCTGCTCCATGATAAACGTTTCCAATCCCGGAATGAAGTTGATATCGAAGCCAAAAGTCTCACCGCCCAACGGCTTGCAAACGTAATCAATGGTTGGGCGTTCCATAAAGGACATTTCGACTTTTTCAATGTGGGGAAAGGGTAGCTGTAGCTTGAACTTGAGGCGCATGAGACCTGAAAAGGCCATATCCTCGACGATGACATCCAAACCTTTGCTAACAAGGCCTTTGCCGACGCGGATTTCTAGCACAACCTTGGGGTTAATCTTGTTCTTGACCTGCCTTGCAGTAAGGTCGGCCGTGTCGTTTGGCGTGAAGCTAAACTTCCAATCCATAAGAACAATGTCGTCCTGGGTCTTTGGGTACGTCTTGACATGCTCTAGCCGCGGAGGCTTCGTTCCCAGCACAAACGTCGTCATCTTCAGACTATCAAGGAATGCCGGGGTTGAAGTAGACAGGACCTGGTCGACGGTGCCAACAATGGTGTCACACAAGACGGGCGCATAAATGGGCCAGAACTTTACCAGGAAGCTGTTGATCCACTCGAGACTCTCATTGTCCGTCTCCAGTTTGTTCTTGGCCATTTCGCGATTGAGATCATCTCGAGCGTTGCGACGCACGCGGCGAATGGATGTCCGGTAGTAGGTTCCACAGATGGCCATGAAGATCATGATCCACCCTAGTCCGCCACCAAGGATGCCCACTACCCACGAGCTCAGACAGGCAAAGATGATGATGCCGGTATTGTGGTACCAGTCACCAAAGAACTTGTCCTCGAGCTTGCCCTCGAGCCATGTCTGATGGTCTGCCAAAGAGGGCTCGTCCTCGTCCTTGTTCTCCGAACCTGGCATGCCAAACCGTGGGGCCCATCCAACTCGCTCCCACCGCGCATCTTCGTCGAGTTGCTCGGACGCGTGACCGTTTGCCTTTGTACCGTCTGGTGTCTGGATTACGCCAGCCTTGGTGGGCGTGGGCAGGTCGTATTGGGCAGGACCGTCGGCGTCGGCGTCTGATACGAGTGCGGTCGCTTTGTGCTCGCGGTGGAAGCCAGGTGGAAGTTTGGCTCTAGCCTGTGCCCGCTTCTGCTCAGGACTGGCATCCGGGTCGAATTGATAGGCGACGCTGCCCGCGGCTTGCGCCTGGTTGACAATTGATTGCTCTGCCTGGCGCGCGGTAATAGAATTGTTGGGGTCTTGTGCTGCTTCGAGGACACCTTGCTGCTTCAGCTCTGATTCCCGCGAGGCGGTAGCCATGCTGGGGGTGTGGAGCGGAGACCCGACCCGCTGGCGTTGGACAGCAACTAGAGGACCAGGGCGTGCAATGGGGCGGGTGGAATTGGGCGGGCAAGGAGGTGAGTGTAGGTTAAAAAGAGGGAAGCACGAAAGGAACCGAGATACACACACAGAGAGAGAGAGGCTGTGAGGGTACTGCTGCCGATGCAAGCGGAAACCTGTTGTTTGGGCCGATTAGCTTGGTTGGTACACGCGGCGGCAGCTATGCTTTAGCGATGCTGCAGCCGGTACTGCAGTGGATGAGCACTAAACTGGACTTTTTACTTTACAAGCCGGGATTATTGGCCGGTGGATCGATCGCCGAGGGAAACAAAGGAAATTGCGAGCAAGGAACGGCTAGGTTGAAGAGGGTGAGAGGGAGAAGGGGTGGAGGCACAAGCAATGGAAGTGGGCAATTGAAATCAAGGGGAGGGTGGTGAAAGTGAGTCGTGTACGTATGTAATTGCAGCTCTCTGGCCACGACGATCCGGACGTGCCTTCCTCGGCAGGGCAATGGCCCCTTCAATGGACACACTGCCACACTGCCAACTGCAGAGTGCGATTCAGCTGCAGCCGAGCAGGAGCCTACGAGGACTACGGCATGGCTTCGGGCAAACCGCCAATATTCCTGGTGTGATTAATATGGCGATGGATAGAAGTGGATGTGTATAGTCCAGCATCGGCCAGGAAGCGGTAGTGCGAGGGCGGGCATGGATGGAGCTGCGCCCAACAAGTGGCTATGACGCTATCAGCTAAGGAACGCGACTGCTTGGCGCACATCGCGTTCCTTTGCCCTTTGGCCTTGCACTTGTCCCGGCCTTGCAGCCAACCACGCCAGGCCAGCCAGGCCCGACCAGACCAGGGTCCAGTCCAATTGCCCGCCGCCTCCCCACTCTTCTCTACACTACTTACTTACACTACTGCTACCACTACTGTACTAAGAGTACGGCTACTACATGCACAATACCGCCGCACCACCACTCCCCGTGCCAGCCCGCCTCTGTTGTGCTGCCAACTAAACCCGAATTCAGTTACACCTCCACGCCATCTGCTTCCACCGTGTCACTCTTGAAAACGAGGAGCCCGTCCCACCTCTGGCCATGTTCTGCGCATTCCACCAATGGGCAATCGCCAGTGACGGGACAAAGTAAGCCCCGCCTTCTTCTTCCTCTCCCCAGTCCGTTGTTGCACCCATCATTTCTTAGGTTTTTTGCAGCGAAACAAAGTGCTGCCGCCATGTATGTCGTTGCTTATTGTGCAACCATTGTCTCTCATCCAACGATGGATGTATTACATGCATACACGCGTATGCTGGCGCATGCCCACCTCGTATTCCAACACATGTATGCTACACACTGCAGACGTTGCAGACCGCCTTGTCAAGAATGCGCTCCTCTCAAGATTGTCCACCTAGCCAGATCCAAGCCACACTTTGGTCAGCCACCGCCACTATGTACTTCCAACCTCCCCCACCATCATCACCACCATTACCACATCATGCCCATGTCCTCAAAACTCCTTGAGCAGCCGCACAATCTGGCCTCTGACACTGCGCATGCATTTAGTAAGCAGGCCCGCTGGCAACGGGAAACTTGCGCCCAGACGCTCCCTCTTGCACCCCCGACACATACCTATGCATCCGTGGATCCCGCCCTCTGTCCCGCTCCCGATCTCGCTCCCTGTCCCTGTCCCTATCCCTATCCCTATCCCTATCCCGACTCCCATTTCTTGACCGTACATAGTCGCGATCATCCCACTCATCTTTGGCCCGGTCGTGGCTTCGTCTTCTGTCACTATCACGCTCGCGCTCGCGCTCTCGAGGATACTCGACGTCTGTAGAGTGCCGTCGATGTGACCGCCCGCTGCTGCTGCCCCCATCGTGCCCCTCTCGCTCACGATATTGATGTTCTCGCTCCCGCATATATGCACTCTCACCTTCGCGAGATGGCGGCACAGGGTGCAGCGTCGGCGATCCCCATCGCACCCCGCTGTGTGGCGCAGGCACAGGTCTGTAGCTCGTGCGTGGAGGCATGGCCGGTCTGCGCTCGTAGTACTTTCGTGCTTCCTGCTGTGCATGAGCTACTTGGGTCGCAAACAGTGGCGACGTAGTAGGCCGATAGACTGGCTGTGGTGATGTTGCTGTAGAATTTCGTCCTTCAACTCGAACTGTCTCGTGCTGGTTGGAGTATCGACGCGCCTCATGATAAGCGGGGAAATAGCCCGGCTGTACTGTTGGCGCATCGTGCGATCTGCGGGTACGCAGTATTGGCGTCCGGCGTCGAGGAGATTGATCCGCATCAGAGTCAGATTCCGACTCAGTCGTCGACAATGAAGACTCGCGACGCGGCGGCTGGGGGCGCTTGTGTGCAGGATGTCTAGGTGCTGCCTGAGGTACAGGCGCTACAGGTGTCGTATCTTCATCTGAGTAGCTGTCGCTTTCGTACCGACCTGGCATAGTCTTCTTCCTACTAGCAAATGGATTTAGTGGGTTCAGCATGTGCCTGACCCGTGACGTGACGGCCCGGTCGCGATCGTCGACAGGCCGGGTAGACTGTTTCATGACGTGACGCATAAAAGTAGGCCTTGGCCTCTCGTTGCGGTAGAGCGGATCTTCAAAGTATCGGAACGCCCCATGCTTCTCGTCAGCCGAAGAAGGCTCGTACTCAGTAGAAGAACGCAGTCTTGCTTCGTCGGTACTCCCTTCGCTGGCCTCCTCTTCCGCCTCCTTTTTGAGTCTGGCTGCGACATTGTGATACCACGCCTCCATGGCATCGTCAGGCTTATCTGGAAAGCACTCTTTGGGAAGGATCTTGGGGAAAGTATTGCCCGTCTCGGGGTCCGGTATATCGTCCAATTCCACGGCCCTTTGAAGAAACGGTACGTGCTCTTCTGGTCCCAGCAACAGCTGGATGGTCTGCCATGTTACAAACCCTTGCTTCTTCAAGGCCGGTATCGTTGGGCTCGAATACCCGTCATCGTCCGCTGCGGGCTGCAAACTGTGATATGCGCCCAGCGAGCGGTAGATGAATGCTATCGAAGACGGCGGCGTGTCCGTAAACAGGACATCATAGTCGCCGCCAACACTGCGGTACCAAGCTGCGATTTGCGACGGCGTCAGATCAGGCGAGTCGCTGGGTTCAAACTTCTTGCTCTGCGATGACATGCATCAGTGACTATCCATCCCAACAGCGTCGAGCCGGCGAGCTGCCTCATAATACTCACAATAATCTCTGCAATGCCTCTGAGCAAACCATTGAGTTTGCGCGTCCCACATTTGTCGTCTTGAAAAAGGTAGCCCCAGTAGTCGTATGCTTCGCGATGCGCCGCGTTGGCATTTGCGTTGTTTGCGGCATGATCTTCCTGCTGCGTGGGTTCCGTGGCCATGCTGGGGAAAGGTGGAAATAGCAGCTATCAATGATTCCAAGCATATGCGCGTATGTATGTATGTAGTAGCGCCTCGGCTCAATGTTCGGAGCTGGTGCTGATCCAAGGTGGTGCGGTCGGTGAACCCCGCTGTCGTGCGACGCAATAATGCAGGCGTAAGTATGTATGGAACGTGACGGCATCCGGAAGCTGCTGCTGCTCCTGCTGCTTATATCAAAAGAAACCCGTCGCTGCTATCAGCAGGCACAATGGCGCGTCGACTGCGCCTCTGCGCCGCACGAGAGCTGCTCCCAAGGCCCGCATGTGTTGGGCTGGCGGCCTGTTTGCGTGGCTGGTGACCATGCTTACATCACCGCTGATAGGTAGGGCTGCAAGGCTGAGCTGGCGTGAGGTCTGAGGTAGCAGTCAGGCACCCATTCGGGCTCACATGGCCACTAGCGACCCAGCCCGACGTTTCCGTTTCCACCATCCCGCCGTCATGCGCGGACATGTATACACACTACTTGCCGATAGGCCATCAACAGTCAAGCTTGAAGAAGGACGGTTTGAGAAAGACGATTATATTCTTTTTACCCGCCAATAATGCATGTCTACTATCATGATGCGTCAATCATGGACGGGCCAGACTGTTACGCCCCCGATTACCACATATGTCCTATCTGTCTAGGAATGTGATAATGCTTTGCCATCCCTCGTTACCAGTTGCTACCAAAGTACTCCTTCCTTCCTCAAAAATCTATATAAAAGCACAAACAAAACATGAGCCGAATCCGCTCTAGTGCTCAAGCAGCCTGAGCGAACCCTGAACAACCACGTTCTCAAGAATGGAACCTGGGGGAATGTCGATGGTCGAGCCCTCGGTAGCGACAATGATGACGGTACCCTTAAAGGTGACACCACGGCCAAGGTTAACGGGACCGGTAATGGTCAGATGGTCCAGCTCAACAATCTTGGGGATCGAAGGAATGCGCGCTTGGAAGCTGGAAACCTTCTTGAAGTCGCTGCCAAGCTTGATCAGAGGGGCAGGGCCGAAGCGGTTGGGGTCAATGACCAGCTGGCCGTGCTGGAGTGTGTAGAGATCAGACTTGACAAGCATGAGATCAGAGCACGTCTTGACGGGCAAGAACCGTCTTCGGGGAACGTTGACACCATGTGCGTTCTTGAAGTGTTTGATGGCGGCACCGACAGCAGTCTCGAGCTGGAGGACTGAGATGTCGGCCTCGCCCTTCTTGTCGGCAGGGATAGACTTGCCGTTGGGGATGATCTCCATAGCAAGCTCGTTAGCCTCAACAACACGCTTGATAGCCGCGAGGTTCATCCAGATGTTGTTGGTGTTGAAGTACTTGAACTTCTTGATCGACTTGAACTCGTTGACGTGCTCCTTGGGAACCTGGGCAATTTCGAGCAGACGGACAGAGCCTTCGTAGTCGATGATAGTACCACCCTTGACGTCAGCCTTGGTCTTGTCCGTCAACTCCATAATGTACTCGGCCTTGGAGTCAACCATGTGCTGGAGGATGCGGAGGTCGACAACGGCGCCCAGGTTGTCGGCGTTGGAAAGGAAGATGTACTCGATACCGCGCTCCGTGAGTTTGTCAATCATACCCGTGTTGTACAGAGATTCGAAAACGTCACCGTGACCCGGGGGGTACCAGTTGGAGATGTCTGAGTTGTACTCCTTGGGGGCTGGCAGGAGCGAGTCCTTGAGGATACGGGGGTACCTCGACTGGTTGAATGTGAGAATGTCAATGTTGTGGCCCTCGTACTTCTTGATGATGCTAGCAGTGTCCGTGTCGGTGTTGAACGAGTTCATGAGCACGAATGGCACGTTGACATCGTATGTGCGGTTGAGGTACTCAATCTGGCGAACAGACAGGTCCAGGAAGGACATGCCGTCACGGACTTCAATGACTGACTTGGGGCCAACGCAACCCATCGAGGTACCGAGACCACCGTTGAGCTTGACGACAGCGAGCTTGTTCAGGTATTCAACACCCTCGGTGTTGGCAAGATCATCGTAGTTGACAACCTGCTCAGCTTTTGGGGGTGCGATGCGGTTCCAGTCAATGGCAGTGCCCTTAGCCTTGTCATTGAGGTATCGGCGGAACAGCGCGAAGAAGTTGTCCATCTCCGTCTCGAAGTACTGCGACCGTCAGTATGTTGTGCCAATACTACCAAGTGCCCCTCTTCGATGCCCGCAGCGAATGATCATGACCATTTTCACGGTTGTAGGCAATTGGCCCTAGCGAGTGTGTTGTATGGTGCGAGCTGCATGCGGGGAAATCGAAGAGAGGCATCGAGCAATTAAGACCGACCTTCTTCTCAGCGGGGTCGGTGACGGTATCGGCGAGCTTGTTCAGCGCATTGCGCATTTGCGAGGCAGCGACATTGGTCGATGTGTTCTCGAATGCCTAGATAAGAGACTTGGGTCAGCAATTGGTAATTGAGATGGCCGAAGTGGAGAATGCATCGCTGGCGGCGTGAATGTTGCAAGCCCACCACTGCAAGGCCGCGTAGTGTGGACGCAGGCAGTGCGGGGCAGATGGTTCCGGAGAGCTGCAACTGCGGCTCTCACAAAATGGCCTGACAGCTCGAGAGAAAGGCTTGCCAGTGATGTCTCATCCTTGCACAAGGTGGCAGGATGCCGCCAGAGACAGACGTCCACCGGGCCCGGGCTCACCAGGCACAAGGTGCCCACTCAGTGCAGACTGAGAGTGATGAAGACGAGGGAAACCAACCCAGTTGAGCCAATGGTGAAGAGAGAAACCCGCAAAACAAAGAGGAAGACGGGTAAGCTGTACAATGACAGCGGACGCGTGTACTTACCACATGGGACTGTGACTTGCCGTGGTGGCGCTGGGAGGAGAAGCCACCCTCACCCTCAGCAGCAGAGGGCTTCAGGTGGGAGGGGATCGCGCGAGATGCCATTGTGATTTTGAAAAAAAGGTAAAGACTTGAAACAGAAGAGGAGTGACGGGGACAGTTGTTGTTGGGGAGCTGGACTCCTTATAGACAAACGGGTCGAGCTTGGCGCTGGACGTGGGGCAAGGCGAGAACGGGCTCTGCCTGGTAGCAAGAAAAGGCTTGGGTGGGTAGAAGGCGAGTAGTGAAGAGACGGTGTGCATCTGGTTTTTTATACCTGCAGTCTACTATTGCCGCTCGGAGACAAGAAGGGCAGTTTTGAGCGTAGCATCTCTGCATGGCAACGGCGACGCCGCCAATGGATCCTGCCCACATGTCCAGCGCGCCATACCTCGTGTCCTCGTCTGCTGCTATCAATTGGATTGCTCCCACGCTGGACCTGCTCTGTTGTCTGCATAGAGGCTGCCATTGTTTGTTTTGCCAGGCGTACACTGCCTGCAAAGCACCACCACTCCCTCTTGCTGTACCCACCTCGGTGCCCCCTTCACCGACGTCTGAGCACCCATTTGTGGCTCTGGCTACCACCGGCCCCAGTTCGCAGCGCTGCTGGCTGCTATCCGGTCATCTGTCCGAGTCAATGTCAAGAGCATCCATCGAATGAGCTTTACGGCCGCCTATCTGTTCAACCTCACGATGCACAATTGTTGAATAATTTCCCTGGGAGCTATGTCGATAAACTGAAAAGCCCCTCATCTGGTCTCCGCGCTAGCAGGGGGCATGCAGCCAACCTGACGTAGCCCGCGCGACCGCCTTTCCCATTGCTCCCCAACAATCTTCCCCGGCATGCGGGCAACGTCCCAATTTTCCTGGCCTGTGGCGAACGCGCGACATTGAGGCAAATGCCTTGCTATTCCTGGAACACCCGCTTCCTCGTCGACGGCTGCCTGCCCAGTCTGGCTATTATGTACACAGTCGCCTTCGGGAGACATTGTGCCTGCGGTATGCTCTACGCCGAGGGCATATCTACATGTCTATCACTACTCCAAGGGTAGAGTAAGTAGAGTACTACTGTGGTTGACGCCACTAGGTACACTCAACGTCGTCCCGAGTTCAGCTGTCGCTTAAAAACACGTGGGGGATCTACTACTAAGGTCGTGTATTGTAGGCTTACAGCAGCGATGCCCTTGCTTGACAGATGTTTAGATCAACGCCTCCTTCCGTCCTACTATGAGCAACAACAACAACCCCCCGTGGCGGTTAACTTTGTGGATGTCAGCCTGCCGGCTCATCGGCAGTCGACACTGTACCCAGACCGAGGACTATCCAAACTCTAGAAGCCCTCACACCGTGTAAGACAGGGGGATAGATATTGGGTGGGGTCCAAATCGCCGCCAGACACGCTAGCGGAGCCTATCCACAGAGTATACTACTCGATTCAGGAACACACATTTTGATTTCTTCCAGTGGCTTGCGTCTCGCCAATATCTGCACCCGCCTCTGCGGTCACAGCCATGTTCTGGTTCGCCATTACCAACCACATTCCACGTTCTGTCAAACATGTTCTCATCTCAATCCGAACGCACTGGTCGTGTAATCTCCACAGCTGGCGCGTCGGCAAAAGGTACGGCGTGGGGCTTGCCAACTCGCAGCTTGATCCATGCGCCCTGATCCACATCTTGCGTGAAGAACTTCTGTCTAAGCTCTTCGACGAGCCACGCTAGTAGGCTCTCAATCGTCTGGAATGAGGACCCTGAGATCAGCTGTGGCTGGTCAGTTAGCGTCCAGTGCTGAAGCTGAACATATTCACCTCAAACAATAAGCTCTCCAGCTTTGGATAGTCGTCGACGCGAGAGTCAGCGATTCCATCTATCCAGATATTAACGTCCACGGGCTGCTTTTGCAGTCTCTCATTCGCGTTGACACCAATTAGGCAAGGAATGCGGACGTTGCGCAAATAAAGTACATTCGAGCGTGTTCCCGACTTTTCAATACAAGAAGTCGTGTGGCCTGCCCCTTCGCCGAGCATACTCCCCTTGTGGTAGCACACGTTCGTTTCGATGGCGTATATTTCAGTTGAGCCTGCGACATCGCGCACACATTGTGAAATTGCAGCTGAAAGTGCGGACGTGCTTGTCCAAGCTGATGTCTCGTTTCCGAATTTTGCTTGAATCGCTTTGCTGAGTATGCCATAATGAACGGTGCTATCGTCGACGGAGTCTGTGGAAGAAGCTGAAGTGAATTGCTTGCCAAGAGTGAGAGTGACACTGATAAAAGCCCTCTGCTTTTTCTCACGACCCCAGACGTCTTTGCCGGCATTGACGATGACTTCCAGGTTCTGAACCATAATCTTGTCGTAGTGCCCACTTTGAACAAGCTGCGCCTCCCATTGTGCCTGCCGCACTATTTGAGCCATGACTTCTGGGTTACACCAGATTCTCGGACGAAGCAAGAGCTTTGATCGCGCCTTCTGTGGCGTCTGAGGATAAGATCAGGAGAAAGGCTTATCATTATGTTAGTCATAGCTGCACAGCAGTCTTTCATGCTCAGCAAGAAAGTCGTTGCTTGAAAATATAATAACAACTATGCATCTGCCCTCCAAATGTCGCTGGTCCAAACGGCATTGCAGAGTATTTCTCAGCAAACCACAGCGCTAATAAAATTCAACACCAAATCAAATACCTTCTCGGTCATTTCTTGTCAATCAATGATATCATTGAACTAACGCTGAGTGCGGCACAAACATGCGTGAAAAGGGCTGAGAGATGTTGGTGTCACTTACAAGCTGGAGAGATGTCACGTCAGGCTGGATGGTGGGGTTATGACAGATGCCCTTTGAGCGCTCAAGAAGCACGGACGTCTTTCCCGAGCTCCGCAATCGAACATTCTAGCTACACATCAAACTACAATAATTCAAAGCTGCTCCCTCAGAGGCTATACACGACAAGTGATTCGTAATTTCTGTGCAGGAACAGCTATATTTTCACATCAACAACATGGCGGACGCACTAAAAGCAGAGGGCAACAAGCTCTTCGCCGAGAAGAAGTTCGCGGAGTCCATGTAAGTTCCCCGCAAACATGGCCGAGCCTACCATTTACTAACAAAGTATAGCGAGAAGTTCTCACAGGCCATCGAACTCGACCCTACAAATCACGTCCTCTACTCGAACCGATCGGGCGCATATGCATCTCTGAAAGACTGGAAAAAGGCACTTGAAGATGCAAACAAAGTTACAGAGATCAAGCCCGACTGGTCAAAGGGCTGGGGGCGAAAAGGAACTGCGCTACACGGCGAGGGTGATTTAGGTATGTGAAGTTTGTGACATGGGAGAATTCACTACTGACAGCAGATAGTTGGTGCATCAGACGCCTTTGACCAGGCACTCAAGCTCGATCCCAACAACGCCCAAGCCAAGTCAGGTCTGGAAGCTGTAAAGCGTGCGATCGACGCCGAGGCCAGTGCCGATGGTGCAGGACTTGGTGGTATGTTCAGCGATCCAAACATGATCGCAAAGCTGGCCGCCAACCCAAAGACTGCGTCTCTGCTCGCTGATCCAGAATTCATGGGCAAGCTTCAGATGCTGCAAAAGAACCCAAACATGGCAGGCCAGTTTATGCAAGATCCTCGCTTCCTGCAGGTCATGAGCGTACTGCTAGGTATTGACATGTCTTTCGGTCAGCCACCAGAAGCCGGAGGTGCAGGTGGTGCAGGTGGTCAAGACGCAAGGGTAGAGGAAGATGTCGAGATGCCCGATGTGCGCCCAGCACCTGAGCAGCCGAAGAAGGAGCCTGAGCCTGAGCCTGAACCCGAACACATCGAAGAGACTGAAGAAGAGAAAGCTGCGAAGCAGGCCAAGGCCGAAGCCGATGAACTGAAGAAGAAGGGTACAGAATTCTACAAGAAGCGACAGTTTGACGAGGCCATTGAAAACTACAACAAGGCATGGGAAACTCACAAGGACATCACATACAAGACCAACTTGGGAGCAGCCTATTTCGAAAAGGGTGATTACGAGTCCTGCATCAAGGCCTGTCAAGAGGCTGTTGAGTATGGTCGAGAAATCCTCGCAGACTTTAAGATCATTGCAAAGTAAGTCTTTCGCCAACAAGTCACATGGTTGTGTCTAACACTGTTTAGGGCATTTGCACGTATTGGTACCGCTTACGAGAGAATGGGCGATCTCAGCAATGCAGTCCTCTACTACCAAAAGGCGCAGACCGAACACCGTACACCCGAGGTGCTTGCCAAGCTTCGCGCCGCCGAAAAGGCCAAGATCCAGGCAGAGAAGGAGTCGTACATTAACCCGGAGGAGGCTGAGAAGGCACGCGAACTCGGCAATGCCAAATTCAAAGAGTCGGACTGGCCCGGTGCGGTTGAAGCGTACACGGAGATGATCAAGCGTGCCCCCGATGATCCAAGAGGATACTCTAACCGCGCCGCCTGCTTCATCAAGTTGCTCGAGTTCCCATCGGCCATTCAAGATTGCGACGAGGCCATCAAGCGTGACCCCGATTTTATCCGAGCATACCTGCGCAAGGCACAGGCATACTTTACCATGCGCGAGTACAACAAGTGCGTGAACACATGCACTGAAGCCATGGAGCACGACAAAGAGGGCAAGCACACACGGGAGATTCAACAACAAGAGGCCAAGGCATTGCAGGCACAGTATGCTGCCCGTGAGGGTGAGACTGAGCAGGAGACTATGGAGCGTATCCAGCGAGATCCAGAGGTGAGTTTTGAGTCAAGCTAATAGTATTTGTTGCTTTTTACTAACGAAACGGTAGATTGTCGGTATCCTGCAAGACCCGATCATGCAAGCCATCTTGCAACAAGCAAAGGAAGACCCCGCGGCGCTACAGGAGCACTTGAAGAATCCCGAGATTCGATCCAAGATTCAGAAGCTTGTGCATGCGGGTGTGATTCGCATGGGACGGTAAAGAATGGTCGATTTTTGTGCATCATGACATGAGTGTTTTTTTTTTCACGAACAGGATCTTAGATGGCAACATGCGGGGTGGTTACACGGCCGATTGGAATGCCTGATTTCTCGGCCAAAGCCATGAGATTTGTATATTTATATGGATCTTGTCCTTTTCTTTCTTTCTCTTCTTCTTCTTTGTCTGCATAGCGATTAAGGTAATGAAAAATTGAACAGCCACGACACTTTTTTTTTCTTTCTTTCTTCTCCCATGCTTAGATGTGTATCGTGCATGCATATGCTCCGGTAAATCCACCTTTCATACTCAAGGTTGATAAAAACGATGAAGAACCGAAGAAGTAAATTGTTCTTTTCCTTTTGATCATATCTTAATCGGACTAAACCCCACTAATAAAATCCAACAACCGCAATAAGGCCCCATTCTCAACCCTACAACCCTCGCCTTCCCTCTGTGCCCTACGTAAACCCTGCGCCAACCACAGCCGAATCGTATGGGGGTCCAGATTACGAAAGTTTTGCTGCCGAATCAGCACGTACGCCTGTGCGCAGAGCGTGGTGCTTTCGGTGGGCGAGGGCGGGGGCCGCGTCTTGCAGGTTGTGCATTCGGGGTCGGAGGGTGAGGAAGGTGGGGGGTCGGAGCAGCAGGGTGGGGGACCGTTTGCGGCATCTTGGAGGTCGAGGGATGGAGGGGTGCTGGGGCTGGGGCTGGGGCTGGGCAGGGCGAGGGCGAGAGATAGGTCGGTGGGGAGGGTGAGGGGGGAGAGGAAGTAGGTTGAGTCTGTTGTGATGGTCGTGGCTGTGGTTGTAGTGTCGGCGAAGAAGGATAGGTCTGGGAGTTGGGATATATCCGGGTAGACGTCGTCGTTCTGAGAGGTTGGATTGCTGTTGCTGCTGTTGTTGTTGTCGTTTTGTGCTGGGATGAGAAATAGTGCGGTCTGGTTTTGAATCGATGTATATGTCGGTGGTGTGATGGATATGATATCTTTTTCTAGTATTCCGCTTTTCATGTTTCTACCGTTGTATTCGTCTCTTTCTGCGGCTTGTTGTCTGAGTAAGGCGATTTCTGCTCTTGCTTCTACTAATAGTCTCTCCGTCTCGGCCAGCTTGAGTTCCAGTGAAGTGACGTGGTCGCGTTGGCGGGCACGGTGCCGTCGTTGGTTTTCTCGCACGCGGTTTAGTGTGTGTTCTGCGGATACGCGCGCGCGCTTGGTTCGAGGCGCGCTCGCTCCTGCGCTTGTGTCTGATGATGAAGGAGATGAAGAGGAAGAAAAAGATATGGGGGAATAGACTGGTGGTGTTTGATAAGACATGATGGCGTTGGATATTTTTCCTTCTTTCTCTCGGAAGGTTGTGTATTGGGTACAGTTACGCAGCAAAGTTTGGAGTGGCTTCTTCTTTCTATACAAATGGGAGTCACAGAGTAGGGTTTTGTGTGTTTAAAGTGTAGGGCACTCAAAGAGGATAGGGATGAGGCGTTGAGTGTAAGAGCTTGGCGATAACATATCGATGAGGCCGTTAGTTGATTGGCTGAAAAGCAAAGGCGAAACTACTTCCAGCCATGGGGATTAGCTCCACTGCAACGGTGTGTTCGTCAACGTCTTCTCCTCTTGTGTACACTGCTTGGCAAAGCTTAACTCCTGATCGTCTATCTTCTCGAAAACTGTCATCGTAATTGATTTCGTGCCGCATGCGATGACGGTGAGATCACGTGCTGTGCTACTACATAGGGTGAAACAATCAGGTCTGTCACGGTCCCTACGCTAGACCACGCAAGAAGAGTTTCATCCTGTGATCCATCCACTCAGTGTCCTTTTTATTGGCTCCACCACCCGCAATATGACCCCATATGCTAGGAATGACCTCGACAAGACCGTTTTGCAGGCTCTCAACCTCCCTGTGGCTTACATAGGGCCTGAAATATTGATCCATTTCGCATGGCATAAGGAGAACTTTTGCTTTGATGCTCTTTAGTGCAGCCTCGAAATCCCCATCTTTGGTGCAGCGAGCAATATCGCCCCGTTGCCACATGCCCAGCAGGGCCAGCAGATCGTCGGCGGCCCAGCCTTCATAGCCCTGAATATTCGTGACATCGTCCCAGTCGCGCAATTGCTGGAAGCCCATCTCCTTGTAGCATTCCTTGTCAAACCATTCTGCACTCGTTAGCCAAGCCGAGTAGGCTTTCCCAAAGGCTCGGATGCCTCTTGCTGGACTGGCGGCATGCTCCAAGGCTGCCTTTGGGCCTTCGAGGAATTGGTAGTTGTGTCTGCTTGTCTTGGCTGAGGAGCAGATGATGACTGCATGCTTGATAAAGTCGGGATGTGAAACTAGCCAATGGTAGGTGATTTGGCCGCCCATGGAGAAGCCCAGCATTACATCGACGTCTTTGATGCCGAGCTCCTCGGTCAGGAGGGGATATTGGGCATTGATGCAATCCATGTATTCAATTTGAGAGGGAAAGTTTGGAGTGTTTGAAGGACTGGAGGATTCGCCATTGCCAAGGAGGGCAAGGAGGATAATTTTGTGATTCTTCAAGGCGCCGTCAGCGTATGTTGGGGTGGTGTTGAGGCGGCCTTTGAAACAAGTGTGGACGACTGCAATCTTGGAGTTGTGTGGATTGAGGATCTTGTAGGCTAGTTTGAGCTTGGGTAGTGTGGAAGCATTGTGGAAGGTGAAATCCGAGACCTCATAAGTCTGGAGGGGCTCGGAGGTGGTATGAGAAGACATTGGTATGTGTGTTGCTGTGGACAGGAATGACAGACTATGGGGGTGGGTGTATTTGGCGGGGAAGAACGAAGGAGGGGTATATGTTTCGGAGGTTATGACGATAGTATGGGTCTCCGTTCCGTCATGGTTAGGTGGAGCCCCACTTGCGGCTCTAGGAACCGCCAAGTCGAAGCTTCATTCAACATTAGACGTATGTGTGTTGATACACAAGTTACTCGTCACGAGAAATGTCCTGGTGTGAACTGCTATGTATGTATGGACACGGCCGAGAATGCTTCACATGCTCTATACAGAGGTGACAGGGGCCATGATCTCACGGAGGGGCGCGTGCGGTGTACATTTTTAGACTCCTGTGTGTCTGTCCGTGTGGAATGATGGCTGACGGGATCGGGCCAGTCATTTTGGTTTCGTGGCCCGGTCAGATTAAACTCTATGTTTGCGACGCGTGTTGGAGTGACATGGTTATAGTCGAGATGAGGATGATGATAATGATGATCGGTGGAGGCTCGCGTGTGGCTAGTGAGCTGGTGGGGCAAGCGTGGCATGAGGATTGTAATGGCAATCTCCTTTGGCAGCATGTCCTACTGTTTGTGGCTGGCGCATCGTGTGTAAAGGCAGGTCGGAAGTCTTGGCGGGGTGTGGTTGGTACGGCAAATGTCAAGTAGGGAGGCCCATCGTCATATCGCTTATTTAGTGCTGAGGCCGATATGGCTCCTCTCCGGGCGCTAACAGCCTGAGGCACAGTAAGCACCTTGTTCCCATCACACATCGCGGTAGGACCCCTGGCCGCCACGGCTGGACGAGTTGGAGATACTGTGTACTACATGTGCAGTCGGTAGGGCAGTGTGCGAGCATACTTGGTGCTTGTGTCTATGGAGCCGACGTCGACGACTGTGGATTGGCGTAAGCTCGCATGGACTTGGCCGCAGATTTGGCATTGCCCACGACCCATTTTCACAAAAAGCTAACGTCAAAGGAGAGCGGACAAGGGGCCACGGCAGCCGGCAGGCGAGGTTAGAATGTGATGATCCTTGTCGCCGCCTTATCACTCCACGCTGCTGGAGCGGATACTGTCGTGTTTCGGGCATAGACCGCTGTGTGGTGTTCCAATTTTGGGATGCGGGACTAAGTATGTAAGTTGTAGTCGCTGTGACAGGAGAGGCACACATACTTTCAACGCATGAGGCTTTTTTGTATCGTTGCCGTCGTTGTCGTTGTCGCCGTCGCCGTCGCCGTTGCAATCGCCGCCGTCGCTGACAGGCGAAAGAGGCTGGCAGACGCGTAGTGTAGCAGCTGTCAAGACACGTGAAACAGCTGCCATGGCCGTCATGGCGCCGGGGCCGCCGTCTTCACGGAGCCAGACAAAGTGCTTGCTGACCGGCAGCCCGAGGGTCTCGTATTGTGGGCGCAAGCATATCCACACTGGCTGCGTGGTACCAGTACCACAGCAGCCTGCACTGGGCTGCCACGCGCAAGCTGGCCGCCGGATGGATTGCATGTGGAGGCATGCGCATGCGCAATCTCGCTCAGGCGCATTTACGAGGGCGTTTGGAATGGCAGAGCCAACACGGGCGTGCAATTAGCGTGCACCCTGGCCAATTTGGCCTTGTCGTCTAGCTGCATGTACCGTACCCTCTCCGCAACGACGAACGGCTACTTACGCTACTAGGCTGCTGCTACCCTCGCATTGCCCTGCTGTCTGATCTCCTGGTCTCGTGTCGCCGTCCCTCTTTCTCTCCGTCCCTCTCTTGTTCTTTCTTTTTTTTCTTGCTTCCTTGTTGTACACCCGTTGCTTCTGTCCACATGCATTGCAAGAAGCGCTCTGGCAACTGCATGTGCGAGTGAAGCCGTTTCATATGCTTGGGCCCTGTTAGAGAAGCCCCATCCATCTCCTCCGCCAATCCACCGCCCGCCCCCGCTGCCGCCGCCGCCAATTGAGCCCTGGACGGGACGTCGAAGCCACCTCACTGCCTCGCTGCCTTTGTAACCACGCACGCGACCACATTGCTCTTCCACAAACGCCCTCCACTACGCCTCGCCGGCCCTGTGCCACCTTCCCCCCGCCTCTAACCACCACCATCTCCACCTTCACCTCCATCGCCCCGAGTCGCGGCTGCACACAGCACCATGGTGGACGCACACGAACCCGCCAGTAAGCTCTTCTCCAAGAGCCGCTGGAAGACCAAGATTCTCGACAAGACCAGCGAGCTCGCTGCCGCCAACGCGAAGAACAAGCCCGTCGACAACAAGGTTGACAACGACGATCTCAACGCCTTCCTCAAACCTTCGACAGACCGTGCCGCCCAGCAGCAGCAACAGCAAGAGGCTGCCGCTGCAGCTGCAGCCGCCTTTCTCAACCGCCCCCGCATAGATGTTGCCAGTGCCCAGCGGTGGCCTGGTGCCCAAACCATTCTCAACAGCGCAGCAGCAAAGAGCCCAGGTCCGGGAGGCTTGAAGTCGGGCACGCGCAAAAAGGGCCTCACCGTGACTTTTGTGCGCACCGTCCCGGAAATCATAGGCCACGGCGGCGACGAGTGTGAGGACCCCGCCATCGAAGTGGCTAAGAACAAGAAGCCCGCGAATGTGCCCGCCGTGGAGCAATTGCCCTCCGAGGTGCCGCAGGACGACACCATCCCCAGCCCCCGCCTCAACGGCATTGGCCGCGCCCCTTCACAGACTGAATACAGGTCACATGCACAGACAGAGTACAAGACCAACCTCACCAGGACACGCACAAATCCCGGCGAGCTGTCCCCTCCTCTGAACCAGAAGATGCAGCTCGGCCAAATCACCACCACCGCACAGCTCCCTCCCACCCCGCCGCGCCACTTGGGCCCCATGGGCCTCGGCGAACGTCCCAAGGGCCTCTCACGCGCGCCCACAGGTTTCGACTCCATAATAGAACCTGCAATGCACCAACCCATGAGGCGGTCGAGCGAAGACTCGGTCTACTCGCAAGATTCAGACAACCTCTCACCCGTCGTATCCAAAGCAATGTCTGCACGCGAGCCCACAATCCAAGAAGAGGAGGATGATTTCCGACCAAAGCCGCTCAAGCGCAGTCAGACTGGCTTTAGCACCATGGGTGAGCAACTCGATGACGAGCCCGCACATCCCGTACCTACAGTTTCGCAAATGCCCGACCTTCATGGAACCGGACAAGAAGATGACGCGCATGCTTCTTTTGCGGCAAGAGTCAAGCAAAGAATGCGTTCAGAAGAGGGTAGGACCTTACACGAGGCGGCGCAGCGTGCAGCGTCAGGCGAAGGGCGGGATTCAGAAGAGAGCTCACAGCGCTCGGTTCCAGGGACGCCCCTCAGCAACGCACACATGGACTCGAGGACATCACCACGCAGGGGGCTCGAGACTGAAGACCCCCAACGATCAAGAGCCCGTGGGCCATCCCCCGGACAGAGACCAATGGCATACCCACACGATATGAACACGCGCGTGCCCTCATCAGGTTCACCGCAGTATACACCTTCTATCACTTCACAAACCCCCGCCTCGCCCCTTTCTCGATCCGATCCTTCCTCCAACCCGTCCATGCAACGAGCAGCCTCGACCGCCGACAAGCCCCATCCTCAAGCTTTTGATGAAATGCCTCGTGTCTCTAGCCCACCTCAACCTTTGGCAGGAACATCAACTTTTCAACAACAGTCTTCGCCACCATCCTCGATACCTGCAGCGCTTGCAATGCCGGCAGGGCCACCAGGTGCTCAAATGGCATCAGGCAGTGCTTCTGGAGCCACCAAGCCTGCTGCTTTACTTGGTCGCTCTGACACACAATCTGCAAATGAGCTGGCATATCGCGATTTTGCTGAGCGCATAACCCATATGAGAGGCATCTTTGAGCTCACAGCCCAGCTTGGTGGTAACATCTATAATCACACTCCTATGCAATGGCTCCGAGTCGCCACTTGGTGGTTTCTAAAAGGACGTACCGGAATGGAAAATCTCATTAGAAGTCAACACAAGTCCACCGACCCGCCACAGGAGCGGCTCGCCCAGCCTCACGTCGATTTGGCCAAGGTGTGGTGGATCATAACTAAAGTCCTCCCGAACCACCCTGGCCTGCAAAAGTACAGCGATGGATCTCCAGACGCCCAAGTCGAACTCGCTCGACAGGCAGGTGATGCTGTGGGCGTAGAGGTTTATGACATCCAGAATGCCATTGGCCACTACATGAAGTTGCTGGTCGGATCGATGAAGAAGCACCATAGCATGCCTCCTACGCAGGCCCTCATCCAAGGCCAGGACCAGGCGATATGGGAAGAATACCCATCATTTGCTCCCGATGCCGCCAGTGTACTCAGCTCGGGGCTCGCCGGCCAGCCAAGCGGTCAGCAACAGGTCAGCCTTTCGCAGTACATTCCTCTTTCCGACACTAAGACTGAATTTTGCTACTTCCGCATGTTTGTCAAAGCTTCGTTGTCGACCGATGACCCTGCCACAGATCGCGTGCCAATGAACGTCGTCCTGTCCGTTTTACGACCCAAGGAGGAATACTCGGCCAAGCTCGCCATTTGCAGTCAAAACAGTCTAATCAATATCCTGGTTGGTCCGGGCTCAGCCATCACATGGCGAGACGTCAACTGGAAACAACAAATGAACCAGATTACTGTGCAGCTACGGCACGGATTTCTTCTTACGCTTGCCCTGCACGAAGCGGATTTCCGTAGTCTATGGTCTATTGTCAATCACATCAGCCGAGTAGAGTCGGATCTGCGAGAGCGAAGAGACGAACGATTTGCATGCAAAATGTACCTCCGCGAAACCACGTACAAGGACCCAGCGAATCCATCCATGTTCTCCCAGGAACGAATACCAGGCTGTAGACTATTGGTGTTCCAAAAGATTGAACGTAGCAGTGAAGGTACTGGAAAGCGGAAACTGCATCGAGGATACCGAATGGTACTGGTCACGCCGCAGCAGCACAAACAAGTCAGCTTGGTCAATCATGAGCTTGGAACGAAACAGGAGCCCATGAACTTTGAATACGTCACCGAGCCAGATCAAGCTCCAGCCCTGAGACTACGTTTCCGTGAAGAGGGGCCGGATAAGCGGTTCAGGATCTGCATGGCCCACCTAGTCTTCCAAGAAGGCAAGGATCGCAATAACCTCTTCGGTACATTCACTTCTATGAATGT